TATATATCTGAAAAATAACTAGTATCTAGAATCTATAAAGAACTCCTTCACATCAATAATAACACACACTCACACACATGCACAGGCCCCAGAATGGCTAAAACTAAAAGAAGACTAATGCCAAATGTTGATGAAGGTGTGAAATTATTGGAGCAATCACTGTTGACAGCTACTTTGAAAGAAGATGGGCAGTTATTTATGAAGTTAAACATAGAGCTCCACTATGACTTAGCAATATTACTGCTACATATTTATCCAAGAGAAATAAAAACATATGTTCACAAAACAACTTGCACAAGAATGCTCATGACATTTTATTCACAATCACCATTAAACTAGAAATAAACCAGTGCCCATCCTAGGAGAATAGATAAATAAGTTTATACATAAATAGAAAAGAATTAGTCACTGATTGACACAATATGAATGTATCTCACAAACATTTGAGTGAAAGTAGTCAGATAAAAAAAGTACATCTTTAGATTCCATTATCACAAAATTCTAGTGGCAAAAATAAGATATGGTGTTATAATTCTTAAGAGAGGTTGCCTGTTGAGAAAAGAAGCCTAGAGTTGGACTGGCTGGGAAGTGTCATGAAGGAAACATCTGGGGTGACAAAATGTTCTATATTTTGTTGGAAGTATAGGCATACTTCTATCAAAACTCATCAAACCATCCTCTTAAAAACTGTGCATTCCCTTGTATGCATATAATATTTCAACTAAGAATTGGAAAAAAACAAATTAGAAGGCTGTAAACTCATATAAAAAGAGATAACATAGTTTCTGGTCTTATATTTAAGTCTTTTATCCATTTTGAGTTGATTTTTGTGTATGACATAAGAGTCCAATTTCATTCTCTTACATTGAAACTCCAGTTTTCCCAGCACCATTTATTGAAAGATTATCCTTTCCCTATTCTGTTATATTGATGCCCTTGTCAAAAATCAGTTGACAGTGTATGTTTGGATTAAATTCTGAGAGAACAGAGGTGAAAATCCCCTGGATGTTGGCCTTGGTAATAAATTTTTGGGATAGCATACCAAAATTTCAAACCACAAAGGCAAAAAAAAAATAAATGGGACTACATCAAATTAAAAAGCTTCTGCATAGCAAAGGAAACAATCAACTGAAACAACAGTTTACAGACTGGGAAAAAATATTTGCAAGGGATATATCTAATAAAGGGTTAATATTCAAATTCATAAAGAACTAATACAACTCAATAGCAGAAAAACAAATAGCCCAATTTAAAATTGGGCAAAAGATCTGAACAGGTATTTCTCAGAAGAAGACATAAAAACTGCCAAAAGGTATGTGAAAAGGTACTCAACATCATTAATCATCAGTGAAATGCAAATCAAAACCACTATGAAATACCACTTCATACCAGTTAGGACAGTTATTATCAAAAAGTCAAAAGATAACAAATGTTAGCAAGGGTGTACAGAAAGGGAATTTCTGCTTACTATCTGTGGGGATGTAAATTGGTACGGCCATTATGGAAAACAGCATAACATAGAGGTTTCTAA